GATGAACTCGGTCAAGTCCTCCACCACTTTCTCCTGCATTTGCGGTGGATCGCGCGGAAAGAGAGTGTGAGTGCGCACGACACGCGCCACACGACATGACTCACGACACGCACGAGACACGGCCGAGAGGCCCTACGTACGAGCCTGTTCTGGGCTTGGAGCGGAATGGGCTGCATCAGCTTCTTCTCCTCCAGCGAGGGAATGTATCGGTGCTTGGTGATCAGGTCCTCTGTCATGTGCGCACACGACACACACGACGCACAGGAGAGAGAGAGAGAGCACAAAAGAATGAGGGCGCCGGCCTCAATCGATTGAGCGAGGAGCGCTTTGGGGGGGGGGGAGTTTAGACAATTACCGACTTGGTGGATGGCGTCGTCCTTGAGCTCCAGGGCGTGCAGGAGATTGTTCATCGTGCGGAAATAGGTCGACACGCCCATGCCGTACTGGTGGTGGAGTTGGGTGAACACACGAACACACAAACACACACGCGCGCGCGCGCCCTGCCTGGCACGATGGGGCAAGCGTACCGGGTCGTTGATCTGTGACTGGAGCATGGCCTGATCGAGCGAAGGCAGCGTCTTTGTCTTCTTCTGTGTACGCGTCAGGTGAGTAATTGTCATATACCAATATAGCGATACATTACATATCTATAACATTTACTCATATTCATAGTATTTTGATTATAAAAATTTGTAGTATATAAACATATTTTATCTCAAAAATATATACATGGATATGATGCGTACCTTGTCGAGAACGGAACGCCGGGAGGGCCGGGGTTCCTCGGTCTTGGGCGACGATTTCGTCTGGCCTTTGGCTGAAGACAGAGAAATGAGCGCAACGACCAAGGAGCTCAGGAAAATGATAAAGGCAGTTATTGCGGTGCACGTACATAGCTCGGCTGTAGCTTGGCTGGAGATGAACGCGGACAACTTACCCGGCCTGCACCAGCCATACACGACACGCGACACGCATTAGCGCAAATTCTTTAAAATAAAGATAAATAAATAAAATATAAATAGGGAGCCGTACTGCACAGGGATGATCCCGGCCTTGGTCTGTTGTTTGGGTCGCATCCGACAAAGGAGAATTGTTAGTGAGGAAAAAAATAAACAACAGAATAAAAGAGCGAAAAGCGAAAAAAAAGAGCGAAGAGCGGCGGCGCGTACGGGGCTCTGCGGCCCACCGGAGTTGGAGAGCTTGTCGTGGATGACCACGTCGTTGGTGGACAGGGACGAGGAGATGGACGACCCCAGCAACACCGTGGCCGGCAGCTCCCTGCTCGTGGGCGCCGATGACGACGAGCCGCTCGGTTGCGGCGGCGGCGAGGTGGCGTAGAACGACACGGCCGGCGCGTGTGGCGACGAGAAGGAGCTGCTGCGCGGGGAGGCCGGCGGCGAGCTGTTGGCCAGGAACGGGTTGGAGTTGC